GCCGGGCGCAGTGACAGCCGCATCCATCGCCGGCCGCGCGGCCGCCCATTAATCACCGCGACGGTGACGCGGGCGACAGCGGCCCCCTGCACCGTCCTCCAAGTGGGAGGTGGCGGTTGGGTGAATCGCCCCGGGGAGGGGACAAGGCACGGGGCTGACCGTGAGCAGGAGCCCAGGTCCTTCCCCCAGTGGGGACACTGGGTGGAGCGGTGACATCCCCTGGTCTGATCCAGTGGCTGGGAGGGGACGGTGCAGCTGGCCCGCGGGGGTCTCCTCGCTGCCAGGTCCTCTTCCTGGGGGGGACCCGGACTGGGGGCTGCTCTCAATCCAGGCTGCTTGGGTGGCTGTCCACACACCACCTCCCAGGTCCACGGGATACGGTCACACACCTCCAGCGATGGGAGACGGAGGCCCACCTTACAGATGGGGAAACCGAGGCTCAGGAACAGAAAGGAGCCGGGCTGGGTGACAAAGGCTGGTCATCCGCAATTTGGGAGGCTGAGGCAGGAGGATGGCAAGTTGGAGGCCAGCCTCAACCACTTAGCAAGACCCTCAGCAACTCAGGGAGACCCTGTCTCTAAATAAAATAGAAAAAGGGCTGGGGACAGGGCTCAGGGGTGAGGGACCCTGGGTTCAGTCCCTGGTGCCAAAAACAGAAGCCCTCCAGGTTGTGCGTTCACTCCCACAGGGGCCCCCGAGAGCGGGCAGGGACTGATGGCCACCCAGTCCCCTACTGGGAGGCACCCAAGAGCCTGGGCCCAGCTGTGACCCATTGAGCCACTTCTGGGGACCAGCCTCCCTCCCCTTCACCTAAACCTCACGACCATTTTTCAGGCTCGAGCTGAAATAGCACAAAAAATGGGGGTGCTGTAATGGCCGCTAGATTGCGTGTCAGCGCGATAAGATGTGACAAATCCCCTGCTCCCGCCCGGCTGTGTCCCGCCCGTAATGGATGGAGACACTGCCCGCCGGGGGCCGGGGACGCTCGTAAAGACTTCCTCTGGGAGATGAATGTGACCATCAGGCCCCGCAGAGGGGACTCGGGGAAATGCAGGCCACCCACCCTGCCCACCCAGGGCCACCTCCCTGACACCTGAGGAGCAGGAAGCACAAGGCTACACCCCACTCTGGTCACCAGGGCACCTGTGTCCCAACCCACAGCTGGGGCCTGCTGTCACCAGGGCCTCTGGCCTGTTCCTGGGAAAGGTTGGGGCCTGGGTCAGAGAGGCCAGGACGGAACCTGCCTTTAGAGGCCAGATCTAGAGACGCGCAGCGGCCTCCAAATACCCGGGGCTCTGCGGCCCAGGGCGCTCTGGGCTGTCACGGCCACCCGGCTTCCATCTTTTTGGGGGATACCAGGGATTGAACCCAGGGGTGCTTCACCCCTGAGCCCCGTCCCCAGCCCCTTTTTCTATTTTAGAGACAGGGTCTCCCTGAGCGGCTCAGGGCCTTGCTAAGTGGCTGAGGCCGGCCTCCACCTTTCGATCCTCCTGCCTCAGCCTCCCGAGCGCTGGGATGACAGGCGTGGGCCCCTGCACCTGGCTTCTTGGAACTTTTTACCACCACGTGAGGCCCTGGGTTGGATGTCCACTGCCACAAGGGGAGCAGTTTCAGATTTGCAGACTCGTGTGACAGTGGAGTGTGTTCCTGTGTCACCTGTGGTCCTCTGCAGTTGGCACCCGGTCACCACCTGCACCGACGCCTTCTGTTTGACCTGATGCCCCTTTTTGGGTCCTAAAGTCCCAGCCAGGGACCTTGTTGTCCCATCTCTAGAGGCTTCTTCTGGGCTGTGACCTTATCTGCGATGGCCCTTGTTCTTGGTGACCTCAATGGCTCAGGGGAAGGACTGGTCAGGTGCTGTCCCCCGTGTCTGCCGAAGCACTCGCTGTGGACGCGTCCTGTTGGTGCTGACCGCCACCTCCTGGCTGAGTCGAGGGGGCGGCTTCAGACCCACAAGGTCCCTCGTCTCCTGTCACCTGCGGAGGGTGGCGTCCTGGGCTTGGTGGCTGCACATTGACCTCGGTGACTTGGAACCCGCAGGCGGCCGATCCCAGCCCCGTGTTGACCTCACTGCCAGGGTGTGGGGACATGGGACCGAGTGGACGAGGAGACAGTGGGCAGAGGTGGAGGGAAAGCTCAGGATCCACTGTGGCCCTGCTGTCCCTTGTGCCACAGTGAGCTTGTCCCAGGGCCTGGACCTAAGAGATCCCAACAACACGCAGTGGGGGACACGGAGGCACCCTCCTGGGGACAGGGCCCAGAACCCACACCTTTGGCCTCGAGCCCAGGCCATGGCCATGTTGGAAGAAATATGACAATAACAGATAATTAAGGTACGACCTGTCATCCTTAAGACTCGGGAGGCTGAGGCAGGAGGATCGCAAGGTGGAGGCCAGCCTCAGCCCCTTAGCGAGGCCCTGAGCCACTCAGCGAGACCCTGTCTCTCAATAAAAACGTCCTTGGGTTGGATCCCAGGTACCCCCCTCCAAAACAAGTCCAAAGGAGGGAGGGGGAGGAGAGGTGACACCCAAGTGACATTTAAGATTTTATTTCCAAACACCTTCAGGGAGGGGGGACTCTACCAAAGCAATCGCAAAAGTTATAATTTACAAAAAAATAAAAATGAATGCTCTTCAGACACAACTGACCACAGCGCAGAGCTCACGTGAGCGGGCAGGCGGGGCCCAGGCCGTGCACGCTGCCCCGGGGGCCGCAGCGTCCCGTGGAGTCACGCGGTCACTTCATGTACTTGTCCTGCTGGTCAGCCAGGATCTTGGCCGAGGACTTGGCGTCGTAGAAGAGCTCGCTGATCTCCTCCACGTGCTCCTTCTCGATGCTGTCCTTCCCGTTGATCTTGGCCAGCAGGTTGGCCGGGGTCAGCAGCTGCACCGAGTACCTGGGTGGACCGCCGGGCCAGGGGTCAGCCAAGGACAGAGCTTCCATGACTGGGAACGTCACGGTCACAGCTGGTCCTCACACCTTAACCCTCGTCTGGAAACTCCCCAAGCTGGGCACAGTGGCTTCTCAGGGGCTCCGGAGGCTGAGGCAGGAGGATCGCAAGGTGGAGGCCAGCCTCAGCCACTCAGCGAGGCCCTGAGCCACTCAGCGAGACCCTGTCTCTAAATAAAATAGAAAAAGGGCTGGGGACGGGGCTCAGGGGCAGGGCACCTGCCTAGCACTTGCGAGGCCCTGGGCTTGCTCCTCAGCCCCACATAAAAGTAGATAAATAAAAATAAAGGCCCCGTGCGTCTCCAGCTGAGAAGGGCTTTGAAAGTCACCACCCACCCAAGGTGGCCTGCAGCTGTGGGCTCAGCCACACCCCAGGGACACGCGGAAGTTGAGGAAACTGGTCACAGGGTTGCGGACTGTCGGGGACACCGTCCCACTGTCCTCGTCCACCTGGACAGGAGCCAGGGGCCAGGGGAGAGGCTGGGCTGGCGAGGCCCCCCGGAGCCCAGGCTCTGGCTCTGTCCATCTCCGGTCCCAGAGGACACTGGCAGGGTCAGTGCCTGGACAAGGGGGACCTCTCTCGTCAATCACAGCCTGAGCCCTGGGCAGCCTCCACCTGGGCCCAGGAGGCCACGGCCTCACCTCAGAGTGGTCTTGGTGCCGATCTCCCCCAGGTGGTTGAGCGCCTCCTCACTGATGTTGATCCCCTCCGTCTGGGCTCGGATCTTAATGATCTTTCAGAGGAGAAAATAAAACCACCATCAACAGTGTCCGGGCCCCAGGCGCAGTGGCCCACGCTTGTCATCTCAGCATCAGGAGGCTGAGGCAGGAGGATCGAAAGGTAGAGGCCAGCCTCCGCCACTTAGCAAGGCCCTGAGCCACTCAGCGAGACCCTGTCTCTCAATAAGATATAGAAAGGCCTGGGGACGGGGCTCAGGGTCAAGGGCCCTGGTCCAGTCCCTGGCTGTTGTCAGGTCCCTTCTCTCCCTGAAACTTGGCCAAAGGGGGTTAAAGGTGACAACAGGCAGGACCAGGGGAAGCGAGGCTCTGGGACGCTGGGCAAGGTCCCCGTAACCCGCCCGCCCTGCAGACGAGGGGACAGAGCCTCTGGGTAACAGGAGCTGCCCAGGGTGGTGGGGGGGGGCCGCAGGGAGGCGGAGGGGACGCAACAGGGCCACCTGCTTCATCTCCTGCGGCGAGTAGAGCATGGTGCGGATGATCATGACGCGGTCCAGCAGGTCCAGGGGGATGCCGTGGGGCGAGGTGACGTCCTCCGTGCCCCTGCGGAGGCCAAGGAGTCCCGTCAGCTGCGCTTGTCTGAGACAAGACGCTGGACACTGCGAACTGGGAAGGGGCACTGGCAGCCACAGAGAGCGAGGGGGTGACCAAGGGAAGCCGACCAGGGACAGGTCATACGCTGACCCCCAGGTGGCCCCAGAGAACCTCCTTTTTGCTGATTTTTGGAGGCTCCACCACGGAGCCCCGTCCCCAGCCTTTTAAAATTTTTGTTTAGAGATAGGGTCTCCCTGAGTGGCTTGGGGCCACACTGAGGCTGGCCTCCAACTCGTGATCCTCCTGCCTCAGCCTCCTGAGCGGTGGGAATTACAGGTGTGCGCCATTGCTCCTGGCCGGACAATGATTTCTTAAATACGAGGCCAAAAATACAAAAGAAAAAGCAGATAAACTGCACTTCTTTGTGATGCTGGGGCTGGAACCCAGGGCCTTGGGCACACTGGGTAAGCACTCCACCACTGAGCCACATACACCCCCAGCTCAATCAACTGGGGCTTTAAATCAGAATTCAAAACTCGTTTATGTCAAAGTCCCTGTCCAAACACTGAAAAGACTACCCTGAGAATAAATAAAAAATACAAATCACACACGATAAATGTCTAGTATCCACAATATATAAAGAGCTCTTACAATTCAACAATAAAAAGATAACATGAATAAAAAGGGGGCAAGATATTTTTACAAAGATATACAAATAGCCAATAAAACACAAAAAATGCAGTATCGCTGGTCCTCGGGAAATGCAAATCTAGTGAGAGGCCACCGCACACCCACCAGGACATCTACAGTGGGACAGTAACAGACGTCGAGTGGCACGTGGAAAAACCAAGACCCTCAGACATTCCCGGAAGGAGTGTGGCACTAAAGCCGTCCTCTGGCAGGTCCTTGGAAGGTCAGAGGTGCCGTGTGACCCGGCAGCTCCCCGCTCCACACAGATCCAAAAGAAACTGCGGTCCCCACACGTCGGGGGCAGCATCACTCCCACAGCCAAACCCCCCGACGGGCTCCGCGTGGCGAGTGCACAGATGCATGAGCTGGTGAATGTGCCACGCGGTGGGCGCTCCTCAGCCACCGGAAGTTCAAGTGCCTCCCAGCGACTTGGGAGGCTGAGGCAGGAGGATCGTAGCTGGAGGCCAGCCTCAGCAAAAGCAAGGTGCTAAATAAGCAGCTCAGCGAGACCCTGGGGGCTGTGAGCAGGGCTCCCCAGCAGGGGGCGCCATGTACCCGTGTGGAGCCCTCGGCCAGCCAGGCGGGACCCAACGAGGGGACCCAGGGAGGGGACTCCCGCAGTATCAGGTGGTGGCTGCAGGGCCTCCGGCCCCCAACGCCACCCAGGTGCCCTGCGCTCCCCCAGCAGCCGGCCGGGCGGACACCAGGCTGCAGGAGGCGTCTGAGCTGACCCTGTCCAGCTGGTGCCTGGGGACTTGGGGACCCGACCACACAACGCTGCCCATGAGCCTGGGTCACGGGCTCAGATCCCAAGGGCAGGGGAACAGCCACCGGCAGGGACCCGCGGGTGGCCTGGTGCTGTGGCCCTCTAGCTCCTGAGTCGGGGCGTCTCCACGGAAGCCACCAAATTCCCAGCAGCCAGTCTGGGCCCGTGGGGGGTCACTTCCGGCTCTGGCCGTCCTGAGACACTTGGACCCCGGGATCCTTTTCTAACTCCCACCCAGCGTTCTCAGGGCCCGTCCCCACGGCCCTCGGCTGCTGGCAGGGAGGCCCTAGCGCAGGGGCCCAGGGAGGGCTCGGGAGCCAAGGAACGTCACCCAGCGGTGGCACAGGTGGCAGGGCCGCTGTGCTAAAGATGTGTCCACGCCATTGTGCACAGACCCCCTGTCCCCACGGCCTGGGGCAGCTGTGCTCCAACACTGTGTCCCAGGGAAGGTGTGGGACCAAGGCACTACTGTCCTTACTGGTTTTGTGACTGGAGAGACCTGCGTCCTTGCCAGTGTGCACAGAGGCCAACTCACAGTAGCTGAGCTACGGAGCCAGCCTAGGTGCCCCTCAGCAGACGGACGGATAAAGAAACTGGGGTCCCTAGACACAGAGGAATATTACGCAGCCTTGAAGAAGGATGAAATGAGGGCATCTGCAGGTAAATGGACAGAGCTGGAGACGATCAGGCTGCGGGAGATGATGAAGCGGGCTCACGTGCGCTCCCTTCGTCCCGTCCTGACTTGTGACGTTGTGGGTGGGCACAGCACCTACCTGATAACACAGTTGCCTCGGTTGGAGGCAAAGATCACGATGGGAGCGATGGAAGATTCCAGAGCCCGGTGCAGGTAGGTGAAGCACTCGATGTCCAGCATGTGCACCTCGTCCACGAACAGCACGCCGGGGACCAGCTCGGCCACGCCCTGGTCGATGTACTTGTTCACCACCTTGTTGATCTCGCCTCGCAGCTTGTCTAGGAGACGGAGCACGGGCAGGGTGACGGCCGGCGGGGGAAATGTCACCCCTCTCTTCCCCCCACCTCGACTCCCTCCAGACCCAACCCTGCAGCCTGCTGCTCCTCCTGGCTCTGACCCTGGCTGGGTACTGGCCCATCCCAGTTTTCATTTGAAAACAGGAATCAGGCCAGGTGCAGGGGCACGGGCCTGTCACCCCAGCAGCCTGGGAGGCTGAGGCAGGAGGATCGCAGGTTGGAGGCCAGCCTCAGCCACTGAGCAAGGCCCTAAGCAACTCAGCGAGACCCTGTCTCTAAATATAATGTAAAAAGGGCTGGGGACGGGGCTCAGGGGTGAAGCGTCCCTGGGTTCAATCCCTGTACCCCACCCTAAAGAAACAGGCATCATTGCACCCAAATGCTACAGAAATCCTTCCTTGGAGCTATCCAGTTGGGAGCCCCAGGGAGACGCGTTTTTATATGCAAATTCTCCTCTGCTGCACGAGCCCTTTTTGGGGGCCCTGTGTGACAATGCTCAGGTTAATTAACTTTCAATCAAGTGCAGAGACAATCCTGGCGGGGAAACCTGAGGGTCGGAGCAGGAGTCCAGCCTCGGCCCCAGAACCATCAGCCCCTGCGGAACGGCAGGCCCGCCCCGGGTCACAGCCCTCATCCTCCAAACCAGCGCCCGCTGTCACTGGGATGGAGCTGCTCACAAAGAACCAGGATCTGATGCCTGTCCTCGCCCAGAGCCATGATGCGGGGCTGTCACAACCCAGTTAGGAGACGGAATCTGCTCTTGGCCACGCACAGAGGAGCTCAGACTGCTGCAAGGCCTCAAGGCGACAGTGGATTCATGTTTGACTCACGTTTTCAGGGAGTAAAGAGGAAATGG